CCCCAAATGGGGTGTGGGGGAAGGTGCCCCGCTTCCCCAGTGTGGAGGCCGTCTGTAAACAAGCTTGTCTGTTACAAATGAAACCCAGAGAACCCACCGGGGGAAAGAATGAAGAACACAGAAATAGACCCAAGTGCAAAAGGGGATTTAGTTTGAAGTAAAAGTGGCATTTCGTCTGTGGGGTACGACGGGTGATTTAACAGATGGCGAGGGGACTGGGGGGTGGCATCTACAATAAAAACATGGGGCCACAACCCAGACCTGACAAGAGGGATTTCAGACAGGGCAAAAACATAAATGTCAAAATGAAATTATACGCCCTGGCTGGTGTGGCTCAGTGCCAGCCTGTGAACCAAAGGGTCACTGGTTCGATTCCCAGTCAGGGCACATGCCTGGGTTGCAAGGCCAGGTGCCCAGTAGGGGGGTGCTCAAGAGGCAACCACACATTGATGTTCCCCTCCCTCTCTTTCTACCTCCCTTCCCCTCTTTAAAAATAAATAAATAAAATCTTAACAAAACGAAATCACATGAAGTCCCAGAAGAAAGCATGGGAAATAGTTTTGATAATCACGGAGCGGGGAAAGCCCAAAGATGACACACCTCGAAGAGAGTTTGACAAATGCGTCTCCAACAAAGTCGAGCACCAGATGACCAACTGCGAAAAATATGTGCAACTCATGGCAAAGCGTTAATTTCCCTAATAGAAAAAGAGCTTTAAAACAAAAATTCCACTGGGAAAATGGGCTCGAGGACTAGACGTAGTTCCCCAAACAGGGAAAAGGAACAGCAGTTCACCAAAGGAAAAGAGAAATGTAAACTTAAACCTCGTGGCTTGAGGGAAAAGCCTTTTCCCCATCAGACAGCCAAGTCAAAAGTTGGGTTGCGAGGGCCCCACTGCCCAGCTGCACAGTGCCACAGACCTTTCCTCTGCCGACGGAGAGGGACATAGGCCGTATTAAAACAGCATCGTTGCCTTTGACCAAACGATCCCACTTCCAGGAGCCTCTCCTACAGGTACACTTCTGCAGGCGTGGGGTTCAGCATAGCCGAGCTAGGTGCCGAAGGCTGGAGACAGCATAATGTTCATGGCAGGCGCTAGTGGAACAAAATCATGGTCTGTCCTGGTCCTAGCCAGGGAATAATGGAGGCTCTTCAAGTACCGAGATGGTGTATACATAGTCCTCACCCAGGGACATTTTTTTCCGTTGATTTTAGAGAGAGAGGAAGAGAGAGAGACAAACATCAATTGGTTGCCTCACATGCATGTCTGGACCGAGGCTCCTAAGTGCCCAGACCAGGGAGGGATCAAACCCACAACCTTTCAGTTGCAGGATCAACCAACTAAGTAAGACACACCACTCAGGGCAAGATAGACTTTTAAATTAAAAAAAAAAAAAGGCACAAGGCAAAACTTGTATAAATTATGCTACCATTGAGGGGGAGGGCTGAGGGCAGAGTCATGTGTATTTACTTGTATATACACAAAATGCCTCTAGGATTTGAGAGAGGGTTACCCAGTGGAGGACGGGGCAGGAAGGGATCCTTAGAATGCCTTGAATTGAGCCACGGGAATAGATCAGCTACTAAAATGAGAAGAAAATTAGGCGCAAGAAACCAGGTCTCAGGGGGACACAGTCACAGGGGACACGGGGGATGACACTTCCCATTTGGAATTTTTGGATTCAGAGCCCTGTCTGGATGTTTTGGGGGCTAGACCCATGAGACTATGGAGTCCAGGCCCTACTGTCCCCAGATTGGGGCCGAGGCTCCAGGAGTGAGGTGACAGAGCCAATTTCTGGAAACTGGCAATTTTGGGCTCTTTTATGTAGCCTTCAAACACAGAAATGAGACGTGTGCTCGCTCCATTAACCAGGAAGGGAATTCTGGGCAGGTGGCTGGTGGGTTTGCGTTATGTTCCTTCACCCATCCCCACCCTGGTTCAATTGTGTTCTCACGGGGAGACCCAGAGGGCTGGGACCTGGCTTTGCGATTGCTTAGCTAGGGAGGGTGGGCTGGCAGGAGAGCACTTTATGGCAACATTGTTTGGGGGGCCAGCACTTAGCTGACTAGTGACATGAAGAGTCAAGGAAGACATCGGCAGCCCAGAAATGCTAGAAAATCCCTAAGCTCCTGGGGGTCGCCCTGCACTGTATCTGTTGCTTTAGAGGCAACAGGGGAGCTGGCCCCAAGGCCTGAGCCGCCAGCTCCCGTGCTTTGCTGGGCCCCTTGGTGTGAGCCAGGGTCCACAGTGAGGGTTCCAGCTGCAATCCCCCAAGAACCTTGCCCTACTCCGGGCTGTCCTCCCTCATCCACCTCCAGTGCAGCCCAACTATGGGTGCAGCCAGCCCCCGAGATACCTGCCTGTCCACACTCCCTCACAGTCCCAGGAAGGCAGTTCACAGTTTATCAAGACCTGAGCACAGGCCTCTTACTTGACCCTTCCCCACCCTCCATGCCCCGAGACCATGAGATCATGGTCCACGATTGAGTCAATAGGTAGGAAGGACATCTGGGAAATCCATTTCGCAGACAGGGGGAATGGATTTTCCTCACAGATGAGGCCCAGAGCGGGAGCAGAGCAGACAGACTCCAACTTCTCAAGGGAAGCAGGCAGAAGACTAAGGGGAGCTGGGCCCTGCAGTACGGGCCCTGAGGTAGGGGTCCTGGCAGTGGGACCTTTGCAGTGAAGGCATGCCCAGAGAGGCGGGGGGTCCAAGGGGGCCTGTACTGCAGCAACTGCTGCCCAAAGGTCGCAGATCCGGATACAGCCTCCTCTCGGTGCCCACAGAATGCTGGAGGCCACGGAAGAGAAACCCCAGCTCAGGAGACCTAGGCCAAAGCCTGGAGGGGGAGGGACTTTGGTGTCATCATGTACTGGGTGGCTTCGGGGGAGGCTCCCTAGAAGGGCACACATGGGACTCAGTGGGCAGACGGGGAAATGGGCATTCCATACAGAAGAAACAGCACCCACAGGGTGGGCTGTGCGGCTGCCAGGGCCTGCACACAGGGGCTGGAGGGCCGCGTGTCACCCTATCATCTGCAGATGACATGGTACCGCTGGAAGGATGGTGGAGATGGAGAGCAGGTGGCTGTCTGTGCCCCTACATCACCTTTCCACACTATCTGTTCCACACATCACTTTGAAGTGTTTGAAAGTTAGTTTCCACTGCCATTGTGAATGTTGACCACACCCCTGTGGGCCCTGGGGTGGTCATTTGAGGAACAGGCTGCTAGGCGGATGGTGGAGCCCACGCTTTGGAAGAAATGAGGCTGGCCAGGGGGTATCTGGGGTGAGGTGCAGGGCCAGCTACTAGCACCAGGGAACTTGGGAGCATGGTGGGCAGGGTCAAGACTGTGGGTCCCTTTATCCTTTCCAAGGTGCCACTGCCCAGAGCATGATGCTTCTGGGTTCGTGACAGGGAGTGGACCAATCACCACTCCCGACTCCTGTGAGCCCCTCGTCTTCAACACAGCAGGCGCCCAGGCTGCCTGCCTCCTTGGCCGTCAGAGACCCCGCCTTTAGCTGAAGACACTCATTGTTCAGGCATGGACTCAGGCAAACACTCTAGCGGGCAACAGTGAGGATGAACATACAGCCAAGCTCTGGGAGGCAGCCCACCCAGCAGTGCCACACCCAGGGAACCCAGGGTCAGTGTTCCTGTCTGTGAAATGAGAGCTGGACTAAACGCTGAGACCTTTGCCCTGCTCCCTCACAACCACCACCCATGTGCAGGCTGAGGGCCAGGCAGAATGGGGCCTGAAGCAGAGGAAAGAGGTCCTGCTAGGAACTGGGGGGCTGGGGGCACATGAGAGCTGAGGAGATGCAACAAAGGCCGGGCTGAAGCAGACAGGCAGGAGCCTATTAAGTGGCAGGTGCCGAGAACCAAGGCCACAAGCTAGTCTGAGTGGGACCTTTGCTCCTGACCCCAACAAGGAGGCAGAGGGGAGGCTCCACGGCTCTTCCATGGAGGACAGAATGAGTCTGAGGTAAGCTGGAGAAAGCCCCTCACAGACTTTTGTGTAAGAGACACGACACCCCAAAGGTGGGCCACACCCATCTTGACTCTGAGCTGATTCTGCCTTCTCAGTGCTTTTCTGGAAGTGAATCCACATTGCCCCTGGCTTAACTGACTGAGGCTGAGCGGGGAGAGGTTCTTGCTCACAACTGTGGGATGTCAGCGATGCCATGAGCAAGGACTGTGGGTTGGGGATGGGTGGGGCCACTGGCAGTCCTCCCAAGGAAGGAGCTTGTCACTGCCTCTGGCCTTGCTTGGCATCACTGCGAGGGTACATGGAGGATCTCACATTGTGGGGTGAGGAAGTATTCTGGTCCAAGGCAACTGGCCTGGGTAAGCAGCACTCCCACCAGGCTGGCAGGATGGGCAGCTGCGCAGCCAAGAGCTCTGAGGTCCAGGGGCATTTGCTGCAATTGCCCCACCATCACCCCCACAAAGCGGTAATCCAGCCCCCAGTCATATTGGGCCTTTATACCAATTCCCAAAGTTCCAGAACAATGAGATGTTCCAGGTTAAGAAACTGGGATGCCAACCTAGCAGAGAATGACCTGGGTCAGAGAGGAAAGGCTTTCTTTCCCCAGGATACCCTTTGCTCACCTGGAAGATGGAGGAAAGTGGGGCTGAGAGAAGGTCCAAGCCCAGCTGATCTCCAAACCAGGCCAATCACATCTGGACCCCAACCCCACCTTCTTCCCCTCTTCCCTGCCAGCCCTAGACCACTGATGGCCCTGCACTGAGTGTGAGTTTAGGACTCAACTAGAGTCATAAAACGGCCCTGGGAGGCTCTCATTCAAGTTTGATTTTTGGGTCTGTCGCCCCAGGCAGGATGCCAACCAAGACTGGACCTTCTTCTAGAGGAGCAGAGGGCAAGGCTGGTCAAAGCACAACGGCAGCAGATTCTTAGGGAGCACCTCTCTGAGCCTTGGTTCCCCAGTCACTGCCCGGCCCCCAACGGATTCCACCACAAGCCAAGTCCAAGGCAGCTGCGGTCTCCAAACCATTTATTTCTCCCGACCGTTGAAGTGGGAGGTCCCTGGGAGCCAGGTGGGCAAATACTGCGGGCAGCGGGGTCTAGGGTCTGGTCCCGCTGGATGGGGGCGATGTGGCCCTCAGGCGAAGGTGGAGCCGTTCCAGCCCACGTTGGCCGCGTTCATGTCGTAGTAGTTGATGTAGATTCTGCGGGGGATGGAAGTAGGGCTGAGCAATGTGCGTGGCCGAGGGGCTGTAAACTGCGCGCCCGGCGTTCCCCACCCCCACTCCCAGTAATCCCAGGCCCCTGCACCTGTCTGGGCTGACACGCAAGCGCTCGGCCAGCAGGCCACACAGCAGCTTGCTGTAGGTACGGTTCTGCGCGCCGCCGATCTTGCCGATGCTGTGCAGGCTGCAGAGCGCGCACGGCTCGCTGGAACCGCCGAAAACCATGAGCTGGTCCGGAACCACGTGCACCGCGATATACTGGGGGAAGGGGCGCGGTCAGAGGACCCTAACAACTTTGCCAGCAACGGACGCCCCTCGAACCTTCCCCGCCCGGAGCAGCTTCTCCCCGCCCCAGCCTGAGCCCACCTCGGCCGGCAGACACCCCCTCCTCCAGTTCTCTCCCGACAAACCTGGGCCGGCTTGCCCGTGGCCTGCGCCAGCTGCTGGGTGAGCTCGGAGAGGAGCCCGTCCGGCACCGAGGAGCGGGGCACGTTGGTGTTCACCACGAACATCGGCATGATAGCGGAGGGACGAAGAAGACTTGGATCCGGAACCAACAGGCGCGCACGCCACAGCAGTTAGGCGACCTGAGCTACGTGACCGCCGCCCAGTTCCGCCCCAGTGCGGCTGCGGCCCCACCTCCTGTGACGCCACCGCCGGCGGAGGCTCCGCCCCAGTGACTGGTGACGTCACCTCTGTGGGCGGGACGCAGGCGGGACTAGGCTAGGGTCAGCCGGCCTGGTCCCCAGAAAGTCCCTAGGTTCCCGCGCTTCCTCAAAGCCTTTGTCTACCTGAGGGCCTGGAATCTGTCTGTCCTTCGTTGGCCAGTTCTCTCATCTAGTCACTGATGTTAACTCAGGGACTATCCAGTTTAACCTGGCCAGTTTAAATTTTATCCCAGGTTCAAGAATGGATTTTTTTTAAAGATTTTTAAAATTTACTTTCAGAGAGAAGGGAAGGGAGGGAAGAAGAGAGGGAGAGAAACATATGGGTGCCTGTCGTGTGGCCCCTACTGGGGACCTGGCCCGCAACCCAGGCATGTGCCCTGACTGGGAATGGAACTGGTGACCCTTTGGTCCACAGCCTGTGCTCAATCCACTGAGTTACTATCAACCAGGGCAAGAATGGGGTTTTTAAAAGAAAAAGTGCAAGGTTTGTAGGGGGAATGAGGGAGGGGTTAGCCTATTGTTCTTCTGGGCTGTTGCCTCAAGGTTTCAGGATGTGAGTGAGGACAATGGGTTAGGTATAAGACTGGGCTGTTTCCAGGTTACAGGAGGGTCAGTCTGACCACCCGCCATTAAGGCTGATGTCAGATGTCTCATTATGTGAGATGGGAGTTTCCATTAGGCCAAGGGATATCAAGTGAGTAGGGGTAACTGAGTAGGGGTAGCAGTCCATTGGGTCCAGTCAGGCCAGCTGGGAAACTAGCCTGACCCTTTCAATTTTCCCCTGAAAAAATGGGGGACTCTGGTCCCAAAGCCCATCTTAACATCAAGGTGCAGGCAGAGGTTTTGTTTGTTTTTAAGATTTTATTTCTTTTTCAAGAGAGGGGAATGGAGGAGAAAAGAGAAGGAGGGAGAGAAATTTAAATCTGTTGTCTCTCTCATATACTGACGTGTGCACCGGCTTGCGCGTGCCCGCAGCATCATGGATGAGATATGAGACAAATTCACCCGGACTACTGAGTCCTTTGGAGGAAAAGGGATCTCACAGCTACTCCCTCAAGTGGAGCAGCTTGGCCACCCTCTCAAGGGGAGAGTGCCCCGACCCTTGCCTAGACAGGCTTTTACTGTTTGTTTGTTTTTTTGCCAGGAATTCAGGTACAAGTTATTAATCATTGTCAGGCAGTAAAGATCAAATGATAGATAGAATACAAAGAACTATTAAGGCTTCTTCTGAGTCAGGGTCTATTAGCTAAAGGGCTACAAGACTTTGGGAAACAAACTAATTTCCTGCTCAGACCTTTATCATTTAAGAGCATTCTTAGCAAAGCAGGCTTCATAGGATTTTACATATCCTTTCTCAGGTGTGATCACCCCCGGAGCCCGCCCTTTCCAGCACAGGGATGCACCAACCTCAGTCATTGTTTAAGGTTTAAGTCAGGCAGAGGAGGCAGATAGGCAAGGAATTCTCGGAGACTTCTCGCAGACACACTGAGGACTCAGGCTTCATCAAAGCCAAGGGGCAAGGGTCCATCACCCCCTTTCTCCATAGCCCCCCAAGTCCTTCCCTGGGGCCTCCACAAGATCATGCCTATCATAGGTCAATCTTCCCTTGAGGAATTTTACCCGTTATTGGCTAACCGACCAAGCACTGGAGGTCACTTCTGGAAAAAGGAGCAGAAGTAGTGCTCCTGCCAGGGAGATAAGCTTTGTCTCCTTAGTGGCTTATGGTCTGAAGGTTGCTCACTCAGCCTTAGCCATGGGGTGTTACAGCTCCTGAAACTAGTCAGGGTGGTTCCCAACAATATATTCAACTGGGGACCCTGCCTGCAACCCAGGCTTGTGCCCTGGCCCAGAATCAAATCAGTGACCTTTTGGTTTTCAGGCTGATTTTCAGTCCACTGAGCCACACCAACCAGGGTGGACAAACATTTTTATAAGGAGGGAGAGGGAAAGCAGAACAGAGAGATCAGGGGTGGGGGTGGGGGCTGTGGACAAGAAAGCAGTGTCCTTATTGGTCTCTGTATGAATTTTCATGGTCAGAGCCCTTGAGTTGGCCATCTGGTTTTTCGTAAGCTGAATTCCTGTCCGGGCAGTTAGGGTTAGCTGGGGTCTTGGGGTCAGGGCCACGTGAAAACTGAAACTGCTAAACTGTAAAGTATATTTAAAAGCTTTTAACATGCAAGCTCTCATGTTGAGAGAAAAACCAGGTTAAAGTAAGAAGCTGGGTTTAACATTTACTGTCTACCACACCTTGGGCTCTGAATTCTTTCAGAGCAAAGAGGTGCAGGATCTCTTCTGGAGTTGCTCCCTGCTGAAGAGGAGTGACATTTTCCTTCAGGGCCAAGAAATCCTTGCTCTCTGTCAGCGGGATAGTGAGGCTTGGGCGTGGAAGGAGGTGGTGATGGTGTCAAGAATCAGCATTCCCTGAGTATGAGTAAGGCTAACCTTGTGGAGACAAGTTGTTACAAGTCTCAATATTATTGGGGCAAAAGCTAGAAAAATTCAGGATCCGGTTCTCTTCGTAAGTAAAAAATAAAACTTTGAAGACAATTAGCTGAACTAAAACCTAATGTCCATAACTGTGTATTATAGATTCTACTGAAACACAATTTTTCTCCCCTAAAATCACCCTCATTTTCAACAAAGAGCCAACCAAGACCAATTCGTTAACTGCATTAAGTTCAGTCTCAATTCAGCCTTATTATTTGCATAAACACAACAAGAACAGCAACTGATTAGATAGGTTTTCTTAAATCTTCTTTGCTGCAATATTATAAGGACTCTCCAGATTGGGCATTATTTAGCCTCTCAGGGCAGAGAAGCCAAGCCACACAGTTGCCATCAGGCTTTGCCTGCAATGCCTACAGATCAAGTTCTCAAAGTATCCAAAATGTCTCGATGTTCTTCCTTTGCCATCTCCTAGAAAAGCAGTCTGCTCCTTCCCTGGAAAGACTGCCATGAACTATATGAATAAGCAAGGGACCAGGCCATTTCTCCAAGGGGCTCATATTGGCTTCAGAGTCTATCTTCATTCCTTCGAGTTTTCTGGTAACATCCAGAGTCCAGGCATGTCTCTCTAAGACATGACATTCCAGCCAAAGTTCTGGTTAATAAAACCACAACTGGAAGCTGGCTTTATGTGTGTTATTATAAAGAAATTTAAAAAAATCAGATTCTTAATGGATTCATGCAAATAAACATATTACCTTAAAAATATAATACTGATTTAGAGTTTCCAAATTCTGGAGGGATAGGTAGGGAGAAAAATATAAATGCTTCAGTATTGCTTATGAAAGTATAATTTACCAAACTGCTTAAAGAAAACAAAAGCCCATCTCTGGAAAGCAAGAGGAAAGTCCTTTCGCTTTTAACAGAGTGAAAAAGCCACCTCTGTATCAGCTTACTTCAGATACTTAAATTCACTTACTTAATTAAGTTCACTATTCAGCTTAGCTTAATTCTATAATTTCCTTTCAAGATTTTTAATACTCTATACTTTATTGAATAGACCATAATAAAGATGACACTTTCTAATTTAGTAAAATGTAATCTTACTAAATGTAGTCTTAAATGTAAGACTAATTAATTTTTCTCAGGGTATTTTAAATAACATTTTTTTAAGATTTTATTTATTTTTAGAGAGGGGAAGGGAGGGGAAAAGAGAGAGAAACATCAATGTGTGGTTGCTTCTCGAACTTCCCTACTAGGGACCTGGCCCACAATCCAGGCATGGGCCCTGACAAGGAATCGAACTGGTGACCCTTTGGTTTGTAGGCTGGCACTCAGTCCGCTGAGCCACACCAGCCAGGGCTAAATTTTAAAGTGGTATTTCCAAGTTAAGGAAACATGCCTTTGTTTTTAGTTTATTGACTATTGTTAATGGTGCATTTTTACCAGATTGGTGTGGGGCAGTCAGGAATTCTATGACTGGTCTTTGATTTGCTAGTGGATGATCAAACAAACTTTCGGAAAAAAAGTTAAGAATACTGTAATAAAAATTAGTCCAGGAGTAGCCACAAATACCATAACAGATACTTAATACCAATACTCATCAAGAAACATAAGCTTTTAAAAAATGTCCTGAAGATGTATGCTTTGGCTGCAGCTAAAACACACACCCCTATTACTGTTGAAATTGCACTTTGTAGCACAGAGTAGCCCAGCATACCCAATGCCTCAGCTGAGTTTTGGTGTGCCAAGGACTTAGAACTGGAAACAAATGCATAGGAAATGTGTGGAGAAAGACTGGAAGAAAACCCTATGCAAATGACCAGATTAACCATGGGTTTGGAATCAAGATTGACGTTCCTGAGCACCATGAAACCCATTATTCCTACAATTCCAGAAGCAATAGCAGAAGTTACCCACAGGGAACTAACAATAAGGAAATGACAAACAGCTGTTGACACAACAGTGACATTTCCAAGTGTTTTCTGATAATGCAGTATATCCTGTTATTTCTAAATGTCTAGATATTTAATCATCTTCACCATTTAATATGGGCAGCTGTGCATAGCATGGCATATTCATTCCCAGTTACACCGGGGGCTGGGGACACAGCAGTTAATAGAACAGATGGCCCCCCTGGCTCCCCAGGGGCTCAGAGCCAGCCAAGGAGGTGAAGTCCAGATAGAAGGGCTCATTCTATCACATGTGCTGAGCCCTTACCTGTCCCAAGTCTCCAAGGCCATAAGTCCCCATTGTCCTCTGTGTGCGTGTGTGCGTGCATGCGTGTGTGAGTCGTTGCTGCAGGTGGGATGAGGGATGCCACAACAGAGTCACCATCCAAGTGCCTTCCCTGCATTACTAACTGACCCGCCAACCCACCCCAGGGTGGGCGAGGATGCTTGGAAGCTCTAAGGAGATGCACAGGGAATAGGAGATGAAGCCCAGAGGGAGCTCCATGGGTCAAAAGCAACTCGGCCTCTGGCTCACTCCCAAACTTCAGGTCCCCTGGGCAACTTCTTTGCA